TGGAGGCCAATGCACTAACCCAGGGCACGTGGGATCAGAGCTCTTAAGACCTGGTAATTGTTGGGTAATTGTCTGTGTGTAACGTGCAGCGATGCTGTCATGCTCACACTTAATCCTGTACTTTGCTCCTGTCTTACTAAAATCACCTTTGTGACTGATCTCAAACACGTTCTAAAATGCAGATCCCTAGCCAATATTTTGCTTCGCTGTTTGGCTTTCGCATTTTCCCCTCCCCTAAGCCAGCGAGAAGAGCTGAAGTGCTCTCTGCCTGGCTCCTGCAAGGGTCCCTCGCACCGCAGCCCTTCCTCCAGGCTCGCGAACCTTGGCTACATCTTACAGCTCGTTATTAAACCTCCGTGTGAAGACGTGGGATTCGACACCACGCCATGTACTAGAACATTCACCAGAGAGTAGAGAAGTTTATTGCACGGAGCAGGAATTCCTCCCCGGTGTAGTCACCAATGCTTTGAACCATCGGTGGGGAGCTCGCTGCTCGCGCAGCCTGGGGCTATCTGCGGTTGGAAGAAGCAGTCTCTAAAACCAGGCAAGCCATCTGGTGCAGACCTCCAGTTTCATATTTCAGGAGACGAACTCCTGCAGAGTTCACTTACGGCTGCTTTTGCAAAAGTCTCTGATTCTGCAGAATTGGTTGTCTGATACCCCTAAATTAAACGTGTGTTTTTAGCTTGTGCCCCTCCATCGAGAGGCCTTTTTCCTGCTGTATGGAGAGGAGCAGGACTGCACACTGAGCTGGTGAAATCATGGTCGAATGTTCATTTTCTATGTCTTCCCTTTTTTGGTGCCCATCTTGAAATGCGTTGGATCTCACTTTCTGGTGTGCCGAGTCCCTTCCATACGAGTTTGGCGGAAGGCACAAATGCTGTAATCATCAACGTGCTTCACGTTAGTGCTTTCACAGGAAACCTTTGCTGAATCTTGTTGCAGCTGTTTAAAGCGCTGTCTGGGCCTGTTGGATGCATCTCTTCTGCCAACGCGATGCAGTGAGCGGAAGGTTTGCCTGTATCTCTGCCGTGGTGCGGTGCTCGGTTATTCAGGTTGAACCACTGGTGAAGGAGGGTTTGCGTGTGGGTGCTGGGCTGCAGTTGTGCCGGCTGAAGCTTGACTCGCGTTCCCGTCTGCTACGAGGGACAGAAAACTCCAGCAGATGTGTAGGGCAGGCAACGGGGAGCAGTAGCTGTTGCAGTAATATTTAGCAGCACTTGTGTGTCAGAGCTCTTTGAAGACCATTTTGAAGACATTCATCTTTGGTTGACTTGCTGGAAATCCTGGTGTGAGTGCCAGACTTAAGATTGCAGCATTCTTGGTGGCCAGCATGTATGTAAGCCACAGGTCAAGGTTTTGTCTCTCCCAGCCCTGCTCCCACCCTGTGTCTCCTCATCTGCAAAGGGAGAAACGTGCATTTGGTGCAGGTGTTGGAGTGGGATTTCACTGGCTCCATTCTGCTGCTGCTTTTTGCTTCATTGGTGTTTAACCAACGTGTGTGGAATGCACAATCAGCATCTTAGAGAAGCAGCGGTAGGAAAGAGGAAGCTCAGGCAGAATATAAATAGCCAAATTTTAAAATGTACCAGTGTAGCAGCTCGCCTGGCTCTTGGCATGAGCCTGGCTGAAGACCGCTGGGAAGCTGCATACTTCGTGTGTGGTTTGTAAAGGGGGAACCTTGGGGGATATCGCACAAGTCAGCAACACAAAAAATGAATGAATCTGACAGTCTTGAATATGGGAAGGAAATGAAATTTGCTTCTACGCACATCAAAATTGGGTGTATCTTCTGCACGTGACACAAAATACAGAGTGAAAACCCCTGCATGATTATGGCAATACTTTCCACTGTAGTTGCACAGCAGCTGCCAGTGATTCATGGATTGATCCTGGGACATTTTGTGCTCCCATATGATTTGATTTCTTTATTAATTTAATTGCATCTCAGCAAGCATCTTATTTTTCTTGATATTTGTGTCTTGGGTTTACCACTGCCCCGCCAAATCTCTTTTCTCAGTTAGACTGTACAGAGGACTGGTCCTGCTGGACCCAGAGCTTTCCTCCAGCCCAAAGTCAGAATAACTGGAAGATGTGTGGAAGGACTGACCTGCGGATTGGGTGATAAAGGCTGGAAGAGAGCCCGGGAGAGCTGATGTGAAGCACTGTTGGTAATGATCCCCCTTCTCTGTCACTGCCCCTCGGGCAGCGGGCTTGCGCACCCAAGGCATCTACTGCTGTTGCTTCCGGAGGACGGCACGTAGCTGTGGGCACCAGGGTCTGATGGTCTCTATGGACAAACTGGGAAGACTTCCCACAGTTTTTCTTTCTTGTTGTTGGAAACTGCATCTATAGGTATATAGCATAAAGACAACTTGGCTGACTTGGGCTCAGGCTGGGTGCCATCACTGTAGGTGGCCGATCTAGGGCGGACGCAAGGCGCTAGCGGTTGTCTCCTGAGGTTGTGCCAGTCCCTCTGATCCCCAGCTAAGGCATCTCTGCTTGTGGGGTTGGGGGTGACTCACGTGGCATAGGAGCACCTCGTTCCTGTGAGCTTTTGGTGCAGAGATGGAGAGGTGATGGGGAGAAGCCCCAATCTCTCTGCTGCTGGTCCTTTAGCTACATACCAAGCTCACCTTCCCCTCACTGATGTGTTAACAGCTTCGTCTTCCCTGCACCGGGGCCAATGTCATGGGTGGCCACTCTGGCATGGTTCCCAGTGCGGACGTGACGTGGGGCTGCAGAGGAGCAGGGCGTTGGGGTGGGCTCAGGGGCATGTTCACAACCCTGTCGGTGTTTGGGCTGGGTGGTGCCAGCCGTGGGGGCTCAGGGCTGCCAGCCTGCTTGGGCCTGGGCCAGATAAACTGGGGGAAAGCTGGGGTCAGATCTACACTACCCGCAGCGGCCAGCACCATCAGCCTGGGGGATTCACTGAGGCAGGAGGGAGATGTATTTTCGTGTCACGCTGTCTAGGAAGGTGCAGGGCACGCCGTGCTGGTGGCTGCCTTTTCTATTCTTGAAATTCAGACCTGCTTATACTTGAACATAAATTTATGCTATAATTTATCCCAGAGCAAAGAACAACAGGGAGACTTGATGCAGGTGTCCAGAAGGATGTCTGTCTGTCCACTGCCTGTGTGGATGCTGTCGGGGTTGGTCTGGAAGCAGCTGCCCCCCAAGAAAGGCTTCTGATGTTCACAGCGCAGCTGTAGTTAGGAGCCTTGCGACCCCTCGAGCTTCAGCAAACCAAACCTCTTGATAGTCTGGCATGAAGTGAGAAGAGCAGGTTCATCAGAAAGTGAGGAAGAAGTCCAGTAACCCTGCCCAGGGGGATCCTCTGACCTCATTCATTACAACCATGAATGAAAGGCTTTTTAGAGTTTTCCCTGTACTCTTTGAGCCGGCTGCTGTTCCCTGCCTTAATTCCTTGCTAATAACAGCACTTGACTCGAGCAGGGTATGATAACAGCGCAGTGACTGCTGCTGTGATGCTGCTGATGAAGGGTGGTGGTCCAAGAGCATGTTAGGTGCACGTTCGGTATGTCGGCTCGGGGTTGTGTTCGGTGCTTTCCGCTCAGCATCTCTCAGTGTGCAGCATGGTCTGAAGCTGGGGCCCCGGCTACGGCTGTTCCCATGTTCGTGGGGAGCAGTTTGGGAGGGGGATATTTGCAGGGAGCAGCGGCGCTCCTGCGGCTCCATCCTGGGCCGCCCCACGGCGCCTTCGTCCCCGGCGAGCCCTGCCATTGCTTGAGGGCTTTTGTGGTCCTGAGAGGCAGATTGCAGGGAGAGCCGCGGGCTGGCTCTGGCCCCTGGCTAGCAGCGTGTTACGCAGGGGGGACTTGTCCTCGAGCCCCTGCGCTCCAGCGCGTGGTCACCTCCCCCTGCCAACCGGCTTATTGCTTTCGGGCATTTTCTCCCATCTGGTGAGCAGTGGGTTTTGCCACGTGTTACACTGTGTCCTGCCATTTGGCGTGGGGGATGGAGGGCAGGGGAGATCCCCGCGGTGTTTAAAAGGATCTGAATAAATCCTCTTAAGAGAAGCGCTGACTCAGCAGAGCATGGTGAGAGAGGAGGGGGAGGGAACTGAATTATCCTTGTGGGGCTGGAGCTGCTGCCGAGCCCTGCACTGGCACGTGGGGCTGGGAGAACTGCGGCAGGCATGTGCCTGGGGACCTGCCCCAAGACGCATCCCCTCTTTCCTCACCAAATTTTTAGATGGTCTTCATCTCCCCAGAGCAGAAACGTGAGCCTCATAGCTGGGTTGGGCTGTGGTCCAGAGATGCGTGTCCCCAGGGGTGCAGGGACCTGTCCTGACTGTGCCTGAGCCCTCCCCGGCGCTGCTCCCCAAGGTTTCCCCCCAGCTTTGAGCTTCTCCCTTGGACTTCTGCCTTGTGTGTGTGGCCAGCGCTGCCAAAGCTTGTGGGCGTCTTGGCTGCACGGTTATTATTTACTGCCGAAGTTGCGCCGAGGTGCTCGGTTCCTGCAGGAGCAGATTACCGAGATTACGGTCAGACCGGGCAGCAGCGTCACTTTACGGGAAAGGCAAAGGCTTGGGGAGGGGGAAGCAGCCGGGGCTGGGTACGGGGGTGTGCTGCCACCTGCCCCCCAGCTGCCTGGCGAGTGCTCCCCGCTCTGCCCGGCACCCGGCGCTGGTGCAGCCTCGCTTTGCAGAAGGGCTGAGATGCAGAGGCAGGGGACATGGAGCAGACTGAGAGCAGCTTCCAGAAGTCTTGTCTCTGCCTGTGTGCAGGCTCCGGTGGGCCCAGGGTTAAGCTGGCTGTGCAGACTGGTGTCGCCCGGTTTGCATTTCTGAGCAGAGGAGGGAGACTCTCGCTGCCTGCCGGCTGGTGGCTTTGGCTTTCCTGAGGGCGCCCGAC